CATTGCCATCCCACGCTGCTCTGCCCTACAGCTGGATCAGCCTGTCTGTTTACCTGTGTGCCCGCTACAGCTTCAGAGACATCTTGATAAGACATCACCTCCTCCTTTAAATGCTGTCATGCAGCCAGATGTGTCTCTTTGCGATTCCAGCTTGTGGAAAGTATACACACCTGGTGTCATATACCACACTACCACACACCAGTCATAGCAGCCATGCACCTTGCTTTCACATGGTCCCATGCTGAGGTCCTGGACTTCCTTGCCCACTGGGGAGAGGAGATTAGGGTGACCAGATGTCCCGATTTTATAGGGACATTTCCGATTTTTGGATCTTTTTCTTATATGGGCTCCTATTAGCCCCCACCACCGTCCCAATTTTTCACACTTGCTGTCTGGTCACCCTAGAGGAGCTCCAGTCCCATCTTAACAGCACTCACCGGAATGCCAAGTTATGCAAGAGGTTATCAAACAAATGAAAGAGGGGGCCACTCCTGGGACCCAATCCAGTGACTCAAAATAGGAAAGGCACACTGGCAGGGTTAGAAAAACATTGGGAACAGTAACAAGAGCTTTGTGACAGTTTGCATGGACATGCCTATTACGAGGCACTAGAATGAATTTTTGCAAATTTTGCCCTGGTTTTCATTTTGTACCATGGGGTGTTCAATAAAGGTGATTTTTTTTAAATGTATGACTTGCAACTTCTGTTATGCTTTGCTAAAACGATCAATAAAATCCTTGCCCAGACCATCATGACATCCCTACATCATTAGTATTTGCATTACCATTGAGCCCTATTGTCCTAGGCGCTGTACGAACACAGAACAAAAAGATGGCCCCCACACCAAGGAGTTTACCACGTAAGAACAAGACAAGAAGCAACACATAGATGGGAAGTACAATCAGTTGATATTAGTCAGCATGACAGGCAGAGATCTCAGTACACCAGCAGCCTAACTGTTATTCAGAGTTTTTTAGGCATCACGGCAAAGGCAATTTTTGAGGGTGGATAATGAGGTAGCTTTGCAGATGTTTACAGGAGCTCCTCCCAAGCATGAGGGGCAGAATGGGAGAAAGCACAAAGGTGCTTGTTTAACAAGTAGGCAGTGGAGGCTAACATCATGGGCCTATCAGAGGTGGGAATCAGCAACGTGATAGCAAATGAGAGATGATAGGTAAGGCAGGTACTGAAGGCGAAGGGCCTTGAGCATAATACAAGCAGCTTATGTTTGATGCCATAGAGAAGGGGGAGCCAGTAGAGGGAAATCAAAGAGGGGTCAGTGTGATAGGCGAGGAAAATGATCTTTGCAACAACATTCTGAATGGATTTGAGCAGGTCTGACTGCATTTGTCAAGGCAAGAGAGAAAGACCTTGCAATATAGTTTCTCCTACTCAGAACCCACAGGAACATGTGCATGTTACTGGTCTTAGACATATTTTCTAACTGTTCCATTATCCTGAATTAGATTCTCTGGTCTAGTCAAGCTGTTTTCGACACAGGACTGGTAAAGATTCAGTCAATGTAAGGCCAGAAAGAACCATTAGATCATCTAGTCTGACCTCATGTATAACACAGGCCATGAAATTTAATCCATTTACTCCTGTATTGAGCCCAATTACTTGAGTTTGGCTAAAACATATCTTTAAGAAAGGCATCCAGCCTTGATCGGAAGGCATCAAAAGATGGAGAATCCATCACTTCCCCCGATAGTTTGTTCCAATGGTTAATCACCCTCAATGTTAAAAATGTTGCCTTACTCTAATTTGAATTTGTCTGGCATCAGGTTCCACCCATTGGTTATTGTTATGCCTAAAGGAGTGCTAAGTCAGCTTCGAACCATTTTTGTGATCTCCAGATCTCCAGGATCTAGGTCCTGGCCAGTCCTCAGGATAAGTTATAACAGCCTGACCTGCCACAGTACAGGAGCCCCTTTACTATGTATAGACTCCCCGTGATAGTCCTTACACATGTGGGTAGTCTGACTTCAATGTGACTGCTAGCACGAGTAATGGTTTTCAGGGTCAGACTCTAAAGCCCTGAAAGTGGTCCCTTCGGAATAAGATTGCTCATTACTAATTATATCTGTTGTGGGGACTAAACAGAGGACTTAATTTTCCAGACCTGACAATCTGGAACCTTCCTCTTTTGCAGCCACCAAACACATTCACTCGACAAAAAATACCAATGTGGGGGAGATTTTCAAAGGCACATGTGACAGGTATGTCAATTTCCTGCAATATCCTGGATAAACCTTATTGAATTAAGTTAAACCATATCAAAATTAAGGTTAAGTATTTTAGGAGCTCATTGTATTAAAATGCAAATGTTTCTATGTATCTTGTCTAGGAGACATGTCTAATCTAAACCTGGGGAAGTGTTATGAGCTTCAAAGGACTCTTTTAATCAATGGGCAAAGATAAGAATTAACTGTTAGTTGAGTAGGTTTCCTAGGAAATACATGGGAGGTGGGGAATGCAAATGCCGCCTCACCCCCCTCCCCCATATATGATCTTTTGAAGCTTTGCCCTGGGAGGGGACCTTTGTCTATGAATTACCTGCTCCCAGGATCAAACAGCATAAAGGAGCAATTCATCAATTCTTAAGTGCTTGTTCTGAGCCAAAACGGTTACAGACTGGTAACCACAGAAAAACCCTCGCCAGGGTTTGAAGGAGGACTGTTCACCAGCCAGAGCTCTTGCTGGAATGTGGGAGGATCTCTGGTAAGGTTATTAGCATGTGTGTATGTTCTTTTATTGTTTTCAATATGTTTTCTCTGTAGTGCTTTTCCCTTAAGAATAAATGTGCTTGTTGAGAAAGCTGTGTGGTAACTTATACCTATGGGCAATTGTACTGTTTATAGCCTCTGAGAAGACAAAGTAGGCCTGCTTAGGCAGTCTGATTTTGCTGAGGAATTCGCAGTGTAGACAGGGAACTGTGCAGCCTGGAAATACCCCAATCAGGAAGGAGAGAGACATGGGTCTCCATCCAAGAGAGGTGATGGCTGAGGAGCTGGAAGCCTAGAGAAAGTGCCGTTGCTGGACCTTCAGGGGGAAAGAGGTGCAGCTGCCCTGGACTGTGACAGCACAAATGGGAGCTAGGTGACAAACTCCTATTATCTTTCAACAGGAGTTAGGTGCCCCTTGTGCCTTTGAAATTCTCCCCTCAAACAAATTACTTTCAGAGCATTAATAATGAATCCCTTTTTATGAACACTATGTTATTTTTGGAGGAGTTGCAATATGCAAGGTTTTCAAAGTAATGTCCTGAATTTCATAGTTGGGAGTCACACACATTCAATGACAAGGCAATAAAGAAAATCTTTATGTGATGTTTTTATATTACTAGCAGAAACCACTCAACTGATTGCATGCAGATAGACATCCAGGGCCCAGTCCTGCACACACTACATGTGGAAGTCCCATTATCGGATAGATATGATGGGTGGACCATTAAGATGGGCCATGAGCCTGATCCAAACCCTATTGAAATCAAAGGCAGTTATTCCATTGACGTCATAGGTTTTGGATCAGGCCCCATGTCATGTAGCTTTTCAGCTTTAACATGCTCTGAAAGAAAAAAAATAGAACACCAAAACAGATGGTGAAAATATATAGGAAATCCTAACACACAGTACATAAAAAGTATAAATAAATAAAAGCCAATTAATTTTCTCAGTTCAATTTTTTCTTAGAAATATAAAAATGTGACTTGAGACATCTTAATATTTTTACACAACTCACTCATTCAGCTTTGCCAACAGGGCTGTCATAAATATAAAGGGAAGGGTAAACCCCTTTGAAATCCCTCCTGGCCAGGGGAAAGCTCCGCTCACCTGTAAAGGGTTAAGAAGCTAAAGGTAACCTCGCTGGCACCTGACCAAAATGACCAATGAGGAGACAAGATACTTTCAAAAGCTGGGAGGAGGGAGAGAAACAAAGGGTCTGTGTGTCTGTCTATATGCTGGTCTTTGTCGGGGATAGACCAGGAATGGAGTCTTAGAACTTTTAGTAAGTAATCTAGCTAGGTATGTGTTAGATTATGATTTCTTTAAATGGCTGAGAAAAGAACTGTGCTGAATAGAATAACTATTTCTGTCTGTGTATCTTTTTTGTAACTTAAGGTTTTGCCTAGAGGGGTTCTCTATGTTTTTGAATCTAATTACCCTGTAAGGTATCTACCATCCTGATTTTACAGGGGGGATTTCTTTATTTCTATTTACTTCTATTTTTATTAAAAGTCTTCTTGTAAGAAAACTGAATGCTTTTTCATTGTTCTCAGATCCAAGCGTTTGGGTCTGTGGTCACCTATGCAAATTGGTGAGGCTTTTTATCCAACATTTCCCAGGAAAGGGGGGGTGCAAGTGTTGGGAGGATTGTTCATTGTTCTTAAGATCCAAGGGTCTGGGTCTGTAGTCACCTAGGCAAATTGGTGAGGCTTTTTACCAAACCTTGTCCAGGAAGTGGGGTGCAAGGTTTTGGGAAGTATTTTGGGGGGAAAGACGCGTCCAAACAGCTTTTCCCCAGTAACCAGTATTAGTTTGGTGGTGGTAGCAGCCAATCCAAGGACAAAGGGTGGAATATTTTGTACCTTGGGGAAGTTTTGACCTAAGCTGGTAAAGATAAGCTTAGGAGGTTTTTCATGCAGGTCCCCACATCTGTACCCTAGATTTCAGTGTGGGGGAGGAACCTTGACAAGGGCTGAATCATCAGTCTTTTAAAAAGATTGACTGTAAATGAATGCAGCATCTTCTCCACGCAGGCCTGAGAACCACTGAATATTCATGCTGCAGTGTCAAACTGAGTTTAATACCATGCTGCTGCTGAGAGTTTGCCTTATGGCATTTATTCAGGAAGAAAAGAGAGGTTCACATTTTGTCTCCTTTGACTGATCCACAGGTTCCAACTGAATCATGCAAAATACTTCCGCACGTCAAGCATTTATCAGGGCTGAGGTTCAGTGCTGTTATATTAATAACTCAAATCATAAAGCTTAACTGACCTTTAATCACACTGGTGTCCAGTAATGTTGCTGTCCCAGTCACGTCGTCCTCATTCTCCCAGTGCACTAAATCATTCTGACAACTAACTTGTAATTCTGAAACAGCAGTAGCTTGGTCTGAGCACGGTTTCTTAGTGGTGTCTACATAGAGATTCTGAAATTACATAGAACAGCGTGATTGATTTCTTGTCTGCATTGTTAGTCCAAACTAGATACTTTTCACAAATGTGACAAGGGAGCGCATCAGTCATACTTGAGGTCATTTCTGTGGATTTAGAACATGAATCTACTGTTCGTTAAAGTAAGTTATAAATAACTGCAATGCTCGCCTTGGAGGCATGTATTCCACAAAGTAACATGACTAGAATGAGAAGATATTCTAGGTACAGAAAATTACCTTTAAGACATATTTCATAGCCTTTCTCTCTCTCGTGTGTGTGTGTCTGAGAGAGAGAGATTTCCTTATCTGTTTCTTTTCAAATATCTTTCTTTTTAGTCAGTTGTTCTTACTGTATTGCTAATTAATTCAATGAGTTTTATGATACAGTACATGACAAATACCACACACACACACAAACGTCTGGCATTTTAATTATATATATTAATACTTATAGAATGGTGACTGTGGTTAGGCAGTACTTACATGCAATTCTAGTGTAAATACATTACAGTTATGGTTTTGATAACTTGATAATATGAATAAGTTATCAAAACCATAACTGTAATGTATTTACTTTGTAATTGCATGTAAGTTCTGCCTAACCACAGTCACCATTTTATAAAGTATAAATATGTATAACTGAAATGCCAATCAATTCAAAACAGAACAGCTGAGATGCAGACTAGTGAATAAGAGCTAATGATCAAAATCTATCTACTTGTGCAAGAAGTGTAGCCCTTCTGCATCAGATCAATCTTGTACCACACATATGGCTAAAATTAATCCTAACTGAAACAACAATGAAAATATTGTAATATCAGAGCATATAATGAGAGATAAAAAACAGTTAACACTTTCTTGGGCTTACCTATAGTTGTATTTTCTGAAATAAACACTAGAACAGGGGTGGCCAACCTATGGCCACACACGGCTCTTCAGACATTAATATGAGGCTCCTTGTACAGGCACCGACTCCAGGGCTAGAGCTACAGGCGCCAACTTTCCAATGTGCCTGGGGGTGCTCACTGCTCAACCCCTGGCTCTGCCATGGGCCCTGCCCTCACTCCACCCCCTCCTCTGAGCTTGCCGTGCTCTCGCTCCTCCTCCTCTTCCCTCTCCCCCCCAAGCCTCCTGCATGCCACAAAATAGCTGATCAGGAGGTGCAGGGAGGGAGAGGGAGGCGCTGATCGGTGTGGCTGCCAGTGGGCGGGAGGTGCTGGAAGTGGGTGGTGGGGAGCTGATGGGGGCCTGCTGACTTATTACTGTGGCTTTTTGGCAATGTACATTGGTAAATTCTGGCTCCTTCTCAGGCTCAGGTTGGCCACCCCTGCACTAGAAGATACATCAGCAGGGGTTCACTGCATCACAAGATTCTATACAAGGTTGTGTAGTACAACTTGTACAATGTTACGCAGTACAGTTCATAATTGTGAAAGAACTATGATATCAAGCAAAGCTTGTAGCAGTGGTAAAATTCACAAGGATCTCAGGGATTTGTGGAAAGAGAAATACAGCTGAACACATTACAAAGAGGACAGAATTGTCAGAAGAAATACTTAACAGCAATGAAGAAAAAAACAGTGAAACATATACTGTAATCACTGAGCTATATTCTCCGCTAGTGGATAGTGGCATAGCTCCAGTGAAGTTAACAGAGCTCTGCCATTTCACACCAGCAAACTATGGGCCCCTTCTTCAAACATGAGATCTCTTCTTCCTCCTTTGTATTGCACCAGACCTACATGTATCACCAACGTGACACCAGTCTGTCCTGACCATATTAATAAAAGTTTTAAGAAATGTCCAAATTTTAGCCAGGACAAAAATTAACACATTTCAAAACAGAAATGTACAAAACTTTCAATAAACTTGTCACAGCCTCCATAAATGTATAGTTTACATTAATGGTGAATGATAAAGGAAAAAAAATAAGTGGAGATCAATTTACGCGCAGGTTGTCCTCAGAGCCCAGATGGTTGGGGACATTTCAGCACAGAAATAAGTTTTAACCAATCTTTTCCTCGGGGTTTACAAAATTAAGAAAAACCTGAGAACATACTATGTAACTAACAGGAATAATAAGAACATATTTTAAAAATATCTTTGTCTTTTATTCTTTTCTATTTAGATTTCATTTTTTTATATGTTAATCCTAGTAATTAACACAATGTGTTACACTCATAGTCTTTATTTTGTGTTGTCCAAAGTAACCTGAAAACAAGTCTAGACATCAAAAATAGCCATGCAAGGGGAAATCCCACAATTCTGAAGCATATGATTAACACTTGCAATAATCTTATCAAGCTACTGTACCACTCTTTTAGAGCCACTTCTTTGCAATGGTTCCCCAAGGCACTTTGCAAATACATTAAAATAGACAGAGCTCAGACATTTAAAAATAAACCAGGTTACACAAATTAGATTTTCACTTCAGTTTAGATTGAAATCTGTAGCACACTAGCATCCCTCATTGTAATATACACATGTAGTAGATTTACAGAATACTTAAAAATACACCTTATAACTACACTAAACATCTAAAAGAAAAGGAGTACTTGTGGCACCTTAGAGACTAACCAATTTATTTGAGCATAAGCTTTCATGAGCTACAGCTCACTTCATCTTATGCTCAAATAAATTGGTTAGTCCCTAAGGTGCCACAAGTACTCCTTTTCTTTTTGCGAATACAGACTAACACAGACTAACATGGCTGTTACTCTGAAAACTAAACATCTAGGGTCAAATCCTGATGTTCTAATTCAGTATTACTCAGACACCTCTGAAGAAGAATTCCAATTAGATGAACTCTTGGTTCTACTGAAGTCAATGGGAGCTCTGCCATTGGACTTCAACGGAGCCACGAATTGCCAATTGTCTTCAGTGAGCATTCTGCCACAGGAAGGACTGAGTTAAAATCTTCAGGATTTGGACCATGGAAATTTGTTAAAAAGGATCACAGACCAGTAAATAGAGGGAATTTCATATCTGACCATTATAACAACTAAAAGCTTGTGACCAGAAAAATTTACCTCAGTAGTTAAGAATTGCCCAAAAAACCTCTACTACGACTCAACCTTTAGAAGAAAAGGTACAAAGCCATAAAGGTAAGGTAACTACGTAATGCCTCAGGAAGTAAGGTGGGTTATAGTAAAGCAAATACAAAATGTCTTTGGGGGCGAATGCAAGGATCAAAGTACTGGGGATGCATCATTTTAGTACAAACTGAGGCTGCAGCATTCTTCAGAAGTTGTAAATCTGCACAGAACTTATCTGTAAGGCATAAAATATAAGACATTGAAATAATAAAGGAGGCTAAAAGTGACCAAAGCAAATTTTACCTGACAACTGCATACTGAGCTTAGCACACAGTGTGCATGTGCACACTCGCCTACCCAGCCATACAGAAACATTTACTATTCTACTGAACAATATTGCATAAATAATAATAAATAATATTCAGAATGCTTTGTCTTTAACACAAGGCACTGATTGTGCTTTAAAATCAGTAATGAATAAAACATCTTGATATCCCTGTGATGTGGGCATATATTACCACCCTGATTTTACACCTGGGGAAACTATAGTACTTCGGTGTCACACAGGAAGTGTGTGGCAGAACTGGGAAAAGAACCAAGATTTCTTCACTCCAGCCTGTGCTTCGACCACAAGACTACCTTTCCTGGCCTATTTAGGCCATTCCCACCCAAAGCTGCCATCAGCAGAGATGGGCAGTAATGTTATGCCGGGCATAGGACCCCTGAACTCTTCTGAAAGAAACCACCCAAAAACTATTGTAGACACTCGATAGATCTCACACACTTGAGACAGAAGGGTTCTTCACTGGAATCTATTACTACAGTTATATGACACCCAGAAAAATGGCTCTGCAGATAACCCGAGTGTTCTTATATTGAAAGACTAAGCAAGAGAGACAGTTCCAAAAATAATAGCTGTGACCACTGAAACAAGTACAAAAACCTCCCAAATGTGGCTACAGTAAGGAGGGGATGCTCTCTAAATAAGTGTGATAAGAATTCTGTAATTTGATGCATTGCAACGTTTATGAAATTTTCCCATTTATATCCAGAATAAGCTACTGGTTTTATTATTTATTTATGTATTCATTTATTTTAAGTCTCAACAATGAATAGCTCAGTGGTTTGAGCATTGGCCTGCTAAACCCAGGGTTGTGAGTTCAATCCTTGAGGGGGCCATTTAGGGATCTGGGGCAAACATTGGGGACTGGTCCTGCTTTGAGCAGGGGGTTGGACTAGATGACCTCCTGAGGTCCCTTCCTACCCTGACATTCTATGATTCTAAGTAGGCTCGGAATAAAAAGGAGAAAAGCTATGATGCTGTGTCATATTAAAACGTGGGAGTAAATATGAAACCAACAACTGCCGTGCTTTCTGGAAATGTTGAGAGCGATGTAATGGCATAAAACATTTTGACAAAACTGTGCCTTTCCAGACAGAAAGTAAAGCTGTTATATGGTTACAAAGGACTGTATTGCAGAGGGAGACCCATTTATTGGAGCAATCACTGCTGGACATGGCACTACACCTTTGGAGGACGTTTATTATGAGTCACACATGCTATAAGATATAGATCATAAATCTTTTACTGTAATCTTTAAAGACTTGGAGTGGCACATTATACTGTCTTCAGAAACTCAGGCTAAAACTATAGAGATATTTCTTCGCTTTGGCATATACAATACTATACATCCATCTGTAAAACACTTAATTGCTGCAGATACCCTTTTCGGTAGTAAACACATACCAATACCATAACATTGTGGGAAATTATTTTGAAATCCTCAGGCACCTCACTCTTTTCAAACAGAAGTAGCAGTTTATTGACACAAGCAGCAAAGAAAGATTCTGCAACAGATAAGTACAGCAGTGTACCCATAGCTAAGCCTAAACCTGACTGAAAGTAAGCCTACACTTTTGAACTTAGTTTTCAGTATTTAGGAAAGTATTTTTAAAGAA